GGGAATGACATTTACAGTGCTGAAAGGATTGATCCTCCCACGTTCTAGCAGCAACAGGTTCCATGCAGATGGAAGAGGTTTTGTCATGCTAAACGTAGCTCACACTGAGCCTTAGCTGGTGTAAATGGGTGCAGGTCAACTGAAGTCCATGATGTTGTGCCAATGTGCATCAGCTGAAGAGCTGGCCCCACCATCAGGGCTGGCTCCCTTTAAGGAGCCTGATGTACTGAACTTCTACCATCCACACTTTCCCTCTGCATTCTAAAGGGGGAAGAATTTGGGTCTGATCCAAAGCCCACTGAATTCAATGGAAAACCTCCCATTGACTTTGAATCAGGTCCCTGGCATATTCCCTCAGCAGTGGGCCAACTGGTCAATATAAAAGAGGCTGGAACGATGACTCATCCCACACATTTTGACTTAAAATTCCCTAAAGTCATAGGCTTCAGTCTCAGCCCTGCCAAAACATTCCACGATTGATGAAGATACGACCTAGACAAATGGTATCTAAAAAACAAAACAAAAAAAATCCCCCCCAACAGTTCCTGCCTTACCAGAATGGAGAGAAGACCAGGAAAACTCTTTGAAATCCACTGGGACCTCACCATGTTGATTTGCTTTGCCTGAGAAGAGCTTAGGTATCATGTTATGGGTGCTATAGAAGTCACTCAGATGAGGCCCATTTCAAAGGCCGTTGAAGTCCACGGGAGTTTTGACTGTAACTGGGCTTTGGATCAGGTCCCAGAGTACCCAGATAACATTGTGTGATGCATAAATATTTTATGGATACCTGTCGGCAAGACCAAGATACTGTCCACAACTGCACTTCAAGATGGGCTCCAGCAACTCAGCAAGTAGCACTTAGCAAAGCCTTTGGCGGCAGTAGCCTCCATTCTTGATGCTCTGTATTTGAGAATTACACTTTGATATCCAAGTCATTGGGCTCCATTCATCGCTGTGGTTAAGCCAGGGATGAACATAACCCAAAGTGTTTCCCTGCTTGTCAGGAAACTTCTGGGTTTGCTATCAGGTTTGCCAGAGCGAAAGAGTGAAAGATAGGAAAATGCAATGTGGAGGTGAGTCAAGGAGCAAAGAACCCCAGGAAAGCACATGCATGTCCCAGTGAGGAAAACAAGTTGTCATAAATATAAAGGGAAGGGTAAACCCCTTTGAAATCCCTCCTGGCCAGGGGAAAGCTCCTCTCACCTGTAAAGGGTTAAGAAGCTAAAGGTAACCTCGCTGGCACCTGACCAAAATGACCAATGAGGAGACAAGATACTTTCAAAAGCTGGGAGGAGGGAGAGAAACAAAGGTCTGTGTGTCTGTCTATATGCTGGTTTCTGCCGGAGATAGACCAGGAATGGAGTCTTAGAACTTTTAGTAAGTAATCTAGCTAGGTATATGTTAGATTATGATTTCTTTAAATGGCTGAGAAAAGAATTGTGCTGAATAGAATAACTATTTCTGTCTGTGTGTCTTTTTTGTAACTTAAGGTTTTGCCTAGAGGGGTTCTCTATGTTTTTGAATCTAATTACCCTGTAAGATATCTACCATCCTGATTTTACAGGGGGGATTTCTTTATTTCTATTTACTTCTATTTTTATTAAAAGTCTTCTTGTAAGAAACTGAATGCTTTTTCATTGTTCTCAGATCCAAGGGTTTGGGTCTGTGGTCACCTATGCAAATTGGTGAGGCTTTTTATCCAACATTTCCCAGGAAAGGGGGGGTGCAAGTGTTGGGAGGATTGTTCATTGTTCTTAAGATCCAAGGGTCTGGGTCTGTAGTCACCTAGGCAAATTGGTGAGGCTTTTTACCAAACCTTGTCCAGGAAGTGGGGTGCAAGGTTTTGGGAAGTATTTTGGGGGGAAAGACGCGTCCAAACAGCTCTTCCCCAGTAACCAGTATTAGTTTGGTGGTGGTAGCGGCCAATCCAAGGACGACGGGTGGAATATTTTGTACCTTGGGGAAGTTTTGACCTAAGCTGGTAAAGATAAGCTTAGGAGGTTTTTCATGCAGGTCCCCACATCTGTACCCTAGAGTTCAGAGTGGGGGAGGAACCTTGACACAAGTACATCCTGAGGAGTGTTAATCCTATGCAAGTTATTTTTCCAGATAGCGTACAATTTACTCTAACCTCATATTAATGTCTAGAGGGAATGTTCTGGCTGAAGTCTCAGTTGGTTATTTTGCGATGGTCATTTCTTGCATTTTTCCCTTTGGCAAATACAGTTTTCTCAAAACCATTGCATCAAAAGCATGTAGAGCAAATCTTAATGACGCCATGATTTACAGATATAAAAGCAATTAATGAGTCTATTTTGGAGTCATTAAAACAGCAATTAAGGCGGTCAAAATAGGGAAAAAGCATCACACTGTTTTCCCTAGAAAAATGGAATATGGAGAGATTAGTTATTGATTATTTAATCGGAGGATAGAGTATTGCTTTCAGTTCCCTTGATAACCTGGAAACCAGACTCCTAAGTCAAGGAAAAGAGCTTTTACTTTCTACTCATTTTAAACTGTACACTGTTCGCCAGCAGACATCGCTTAAGCAAACAGTATCACAATTGTACTGCCTTTTTTTAAAATATACGGGGCAGACTGTTTTTAAGATGATGTTACAGTAATATTTGTTTAGATCTCGCTTTACCAGGGTCTAACTCAGTTCTGACATTTGCAGCCCACACATTTGTTTTCATTGCACTGCAGGAAATAAGACAAATTGGCATTTAGCGTACCTGAAAAAGACGGTAAGGCAGCCCGAGAGGAAGCTAATTAAAATGCAGCACAGTGCTATATGACTGGATCACACTGTGTTGCCATCGCAACAGTGAGAACTTATGGGCCTTTCAGGCCATCTGAGAGCATGTTTTCAAGAGGTACATGAACCAAAGATATCCCCTGTAGTACATTAAAAATGTTGTTATACCATGAATGATTTGCTGACGTTACCCTAGAAAGAAAAGAATTAACTCTGAGAGGCACCGAGGTCTGGCCCATCTCAGGGATGAATTTATATAGTTCGTATTTTTCACGATCCTGTCCCGTGGCTCCCAACAGCTGGGCATATCTTCCCTCAATAATTCACTTTGATTTCCTGACTCAGAAAAACTAAGACTACCCCATATCTGAGGTGCAGGGAAGAGAAGACACTCAGAAATGTATGACATTTTCAAAGCTTTCTACGGAATTAGGCATCAGATTCCCCAAGGTAGCTTTGTCAATCTCAGCCCAAGTGCAACCGTTCTCAAACTGTTGCCCATTGGTGGGCCATGGAGTATGTGTTTGTCGGCATGGCTCCATGGTGCTGGATCTTCTCATTCGCTTCCATCTGCCAAACCACAATTAAAGGAGCTTAAATCGACATTCATAATTATAAAATTTACATTAAACATTCTTCTGATATCAATTTTCCATTGACGCAATTGCTGTAGTTGCCCTACCGATGTTATGCAATGGCTAATGGGAAGGAAAAAGGACTTTCAATGGGAATGTAGGTGTCTAGTCTAAGATACTCTATTGTGTTGCAGTTCATACTATGAATATGTCTGGGAATCCCTGATCCAGTGGATAAATAAGAGATTTTATTAAACATTTTGAGTATGATTTAGGTCCTGAGCCAAAGCCCAGTGAAGACAGTTGAGTAAACCCCATCCCACAAATTGACATTCGTGAGCTGCAGACCAGGAGCTAAATTATTACTTTTTCTGACTTTTAAATTCTGAGGTTTCAGTAAAGAATATTACTGTAGATGAAAAATGATTGAGAAAAAATTTTAATGCCATTTTAAAAAAAGTTCTCTATTCCAGCGCTCTCTCTCATTTCAAACATTTATTTAGCAATGCAGCACTGGTAAAAGAGATCTAGGAGTGATAGCAGAGAGGAAATTAAATGTGAGGTTGCAATGCAAAATGAAACCAAAATGCCTGTGTTGTTTTTTTTTTTTGTTGGGGTTTTGTTGTTTTTTTTTTTACTGCAGAGACCTCACATCAAGTCTCCCTGCACACAATTCTAGTGAGACTATGCCGGGAATTTTACGTTCAATTCTGGGCATGCCAATGCCAGAGAAATGATTAGTGTTGCCTGGCAGATAGGACACTGGATCAGGACTCAGGAGACTTGGGTTCTATTTTTAACTCTGCTACTGACCTACTCTGTGACCTTGAGCAAGTCACATCACCTCTCTGTGCCAGTCTCCTCATCTGCAAAATGGGGATAATGATATTTACCTGCATTAAGATCTACACATGAAAAGCATTATATACGAGCAAGGTTTTATTGAAAAGAGAGGGTCTGAGGAAAGGTAAAAATCCTACTTGTGACAATATGCATCATAAAAATGTAGATTAAAAAAATAATGTCGTGCAGGTTAGAGGTGAAACTTGAATCCAAGGATAAAAGAGTAGCCTGAATAACAAGGGAAAGAATTGAAATGTCTCTTTATATCTACATATCCCACTCCAGAGAAATGTATCCAGTCAGCACAGTGAATAGAGAGATACTTAGCTTTAATAAAGAACTAAAATTCAGTGCTGTAAAACAGTAACCACACAATGGGTCTATTTTTGGGAAAACAAATTATAGTCAAATTTTACCTGACACAAATACAGTGCAACCAATCCATCACTCAGCTGGTTTCTCCATATCTTGGTATTTTAACTACCTCGAGATGATGATTCTTCATAGGTTCTTACAATTTCCTGATAAACTGCTGCATTTCATTGTTGACGACCTCTTTTGTTTCTTGATTCTTTATGACTGAATTTATTGTCGCTGTCAAAACATCTATTTTGTAAACTTTTATTGAATAAACCACACCCACAAACATAGAGGGCCATATCTTCAGCTGGTGTATAATTCATCCTCCCATCTTTTATACTGCTCCGAGTGTAATTTTTTTTTCGCCGCAACTCCTTCACAATGAGATACTTATCCTGAATTATTTAACATATACTCTTAGAAAGGACAGAGTGTGCTGTAAATCACCACCAATATGAAAGTTCATTTTTTAGTGAATTACATTTTATTTGCTGCAGTTGAACACCGTTATTTACAGACATACATTAATAAAACACATCACAAAACAATAAAAATGTTGTTAATATTTATAGGTGCATAGTTCATGCTCAATTACTTTATATATATATAATATGTATAAACAATTCTCACAATAAGTTAACCCCGAGACAGAGCAATAATATGAAACAAAAAAAATCCTTGTATCAGAAACAATACCAAGTTACTGACAATCTAGCAAGAAAACATGTACAGCTTTAGAAATAAGTAATAGACACTTAGGTGGTTTTTTAATGTTTTTTTATACTTTTAAAACTTGAAGCCACAATATCCACAGCACGACAATGCCCCTGCCACCCCGTTGTTTCATTTCAGTGGGAGGGAATCACTGAAATGAAAGCTGGGTGCAGACCCAGACACTCAAATCATTGCTGATAGAAGACTTCAGAATACACTGTTAAAAACTGTAATAAAAATAATAATAAAAAAAAATTTACAACTGGGCACATTGGAACTCAGCACTTGTACAGGACAGGACATCTTTGTTAGTAGATTTCAGAAGATAGAAAGAGGGAAGACATTTTCATGCTTCAGGTTCATAATCTTGATACTCTTCCTATTGAGGAGAGCAAAAATCAAAATTGGAAACATTAAGGGAAAAATCTCATTTTAGGCCCAATTCTATTCCCATTGGAGTCCATAGAGAAAAGGCCACTGATTTTATTTAGAACACAATCTGGCTATTTATCTTTATTTGGTTGGCATTACTTTAACATGTTTTCCAAATACTTAATTTACAAGAGAAAGGTATTTACAGATTAATTAGACTTCCCGTGAGATTAATTTGCCATTCACCTTCCATATCAATGGCTAAGATTACTTACGGCTTTTGATATCTAGAGAATTCCCAAGAGAACTAATGGGCAAAGAGAAAAATCACATTTCTGTGTATAACATGCGCATAAGCCATCCTTATGTATTCCTGTAATTTATTGAAGGAAAAGCTTCATTGAAGCTCATTTCAGTGGCAACATATCATCAATCTTAATCCTTGATCTAGGAAAGCATTTAGGTATGCACTTTACTTGAAATTAATGGAGTAGTCTCACTGAAATCAATGGAATAATTCATATGCTTACAAATTACGTACATGAGTTTGTATTGGAAGGATCAGTACCTAGGACAGAAAACTGCTTTAAAAAAGTTTACTGTGAAAAGCTATACGCCTGAAATGTCATGGCAGCTAAACAGACTGTACGCTTAAAATATTTTCACAATCAATAGTGAATTAACTATTTTCAGCCATATCTTTTGTATTCATTTGGGACCTGATCCAATTTGTACTGAGCTAAATGGGAGACTTTCCACTGACTTCAGTGGGAATTGGATCAGGCTCTTAGTGGCAATTACTACATTTGTGGACTTAAAATTATTATTCCTTTACCAAGATATATCCAGTTACAGTAATTGGGCATGACACAGGATGTTCAGGATCCTGACACAGAGAAGAAAGGAGAGCAGCAGAATACAGACCCTGGACTTCAGAAAAGCAGACTTTGACTCCCTCAGGGAACTGATGGGCAGGATCCCCTGGGAGAATAACATGAGGGGGGAAAAGAAAAGGAGTACTTGTGGCACAGAAGTACTCCTTTTCTTTTTGCGAATATAGACTAACACGGCTGTTACTATGAGGGAGAAAGGAGTCCAAGAGAGTTGGCTGTATTTTAAAGAATCCTTTTTGAGGTTACAGGGACAAACCATCCTGATGTGTAGAAAAAATAGTAAATATGGCAGGCGACCAGCTTGGCTTAACAGTGAAATCCTTGCTGATCTTAAACACAAAAAAAAAGCTTACAAGAAGTGGAAGATTGGACAAATGACCAGGGATGAGTATAAAAATATTGCTTGGGCATGCAGGAGTGAAATCAGGAAGGCCAAATCACATCTGGAGTTGCAGCTAGCAAGAGATGTTAAGAGTAACAAGAAGTGTTAGCAACAAGAAGAAAGTCAAGGACAGTGTGAGCCTCTTACTGAATGAGGGAGGCAACCTAGTGACAGAGGATGTGGAAAAAGCTAATGTACTCAATGCTTTTTTTGCCTCTGGCTTCACGAACAAGGTCAGCTCCCAGACTACTGCACTGGGCAGCACAGCATGGGGACGAGGTGACCAGCCCTCTGTGGAGAAAGAAGTGGTTCGGGACTATTTAGAAAAGCTGGACGAGCACAAATCTATGGGGCTGGATGTGCTGCATCCGAGAGTGCTAAAGGAGTTGGCGGATGTGATTGCAGAGCCATTGGCCATTATCTTTGAAAACTCATGGCGATCGGGGGAAGTCCCGGACGACTGGAAAAAGGCTAACGTAGTGCCCATCTTTAAAAAAAGGAAGGAGGAGGATCCTGGGAACTACAGGCCTGCCAGAATCAATTCTGAAGCACTTAGAGGAGAGGAAAGTGATCAGGAACAGTCAGCATGGATTCACCAAGGGCAAGTCATGCCTGACTAATCTAATTGCCTTCTATGATGAGATAACTGGCTCTGTGGATGAGGGGAAAGCAGTGGACGTGTTGTTCCTTGACTTTAGCAAAGCTTTTGACACAGTCTCCCACAGTATTCTTGCCAGCAAGTTAAAGAAGTATGGGCTGGATGAATGGACTATAAGGTGGATAGAAAGCTGGCTAGATTGTCAGGATCAATGGGTAGTGATCAATGGCTCCATGTCTAGTTGACAGCCGGTATCAAGTGGAGTGCGCCAAGGGTCAGTCCTCGGGCCGGTTTTGTTCAATATCTTCATAAATGATCTGGAGAATGGTGTGGATTGCACCCTCAGCAAGTTTGCAGATGACACTAAACTGGGAGGAGAGGTAGATATGCTGGAGGGTAGGGATAGGATACAGTGGGCCCTCGACAAATTAGAGGATTGGGACAAAAGAAATCTGATGAGGTTCAACAAGGACAAGTGCAGAGTCCTGCACTTAGGACGGAAGAACCCAATGCACCGCTACAGACTAGGGACCGAATGGCTCGGCAGCAGTTCTTCAGAAAAAGACCTAGGGGTGACAGTGGATGAGAAGCTGGATATGAGTCAACAGTTTGCCCTTGTTGCCAAGAAGGCCAATGGCATTTTGGGATGTGTAAGTAGGGGCATTGCCAGCAGATCGAGGGACATGATCGTTCCCCTCTATTTGACATTGGTGAGTCCTCATCTGGAGTACTGTGTCCAGTTTTGGGCCCCACACCACAAGAAGGATGTGGAAAAATTGGAAAGAGTCCAGCGGAGGGCAACAAAAATGATGAGGGGACTGGAACACATGACTTATGAGGAGAGGCTGAGGGAACTGGGATTGTTTAGTCTGCGGAAGAAAAGAATGAGGGGGGATTTGATAGCTGCTTTCAACTACCTGAAAGGGGGTTCCAAAGAGGATCGATCTAGACTGTTCTCAGTGGTAGCAGATGACAGAACGAGGAGTAATGGTCTCAAGTTGCAGTGGGGGAGGTTTAGGTTGGATATTAGGAAAAACTTTTTCACTAGGAGGGTGGTGAAACACTGGAATTCGTTACCTAGGGAGGTGGTGGAATCTCCTTCCTTAGAAGTTTTTAAGGTCAGGCTTGACAAAGCCCTGGCTGGGATGATTTAGTTGGGGATTGGTCCTGCTTTGAGGTCCCTTCCAACCCTGATATTCTATGACCTTTCGAGGTCCTGGGCACCTGAAATTCCTATTGCACTCTGCAATGCAGTGGGAGTTGCAGATACTCACAGTGACTCAATAAATCACTTAAGCATATGCTTAATTATAAGCATACGAGTAGCCCCATTGATTCCAATTACTCAAGTGCTTAAAGTTAATTTATATGTCTAAGTACTTTGCTGGATCAGACCCTAGATGCTCCAGGCCTTTCATGATCAAGCCCATGCATGGAAATTCTGTGAAACAACCAGTCTGATTACTCATGGTGGTACCCCATGCATGGCAGTAATATTGTATATAGTAGAACCAAAGTAATTCAGCATTAGTGGAAGGAAACGATGAGAACAAAGATTTTACTTTCTTGATTGCACTTTCTTGAGCAAAAGTGAGCAACAGTGATTTGCTGCATATTATAAAATGTTATTCACAAAACTAGGAAACTGTTGAAAGAAGACACTGAACATACATGTGGTTTTTTTTTCTTGAACTCATACATTGACAAAGGTATAATTTCCTCCCATCTCTTATCAAATACAAGAAAAAGGGAATTTATTGTGGATTATTCTAGAATGCGTGTGTGTGTGTGTACGTGCACGCACATGCATGTGTAAGTATAATTGTTCTCTCAAATATCATTACTGCAAGAAAAATATTTAATAATGTAACACTGTGTTTTGAGAGGTTTCAGAGTAACAGTCATGTTAGTCTGTATTCGCAAAAAGAAAAGGAGGACTTGTGGCACCTTAGAGACTAGCCAATTTATTTGAGCATAAGCTTTCGTGATGCAGTGAGCTGTAGCTCACGAAAGCTTATGCTCAAATAAATTGGCTAGTCTCTACGGTGCCACAAGTCCTCTTTTTCTTTTTGTGTTTTGAGAGAAGCTGGGTGAGGGAAATCAGAAATGCAAGAGGTGGTGCTACATATGCACTGGGTTAGGGAGGTACTATTGTGGGGGAAGGAAGGGGTTCTGGCTGCATTAAAAGGGTTTGGTTAGACTGCGTGGGCTTCCCTCTTTCTTTCAGGTACCCCGCTGCCACAATACTAAAAGCCACCCTTTACCTTCCAATGAATGAGCAATTCCGGTTAATTTCATTAGGCGCTGTTTGCATGTTTCCAAGGACAACATTTGGCCCTAAAGATTTATTTATTATTTTCCAGGCATGACAGTTTCCTGCTGAAGACAGCTGGCTACACAAAACAATGGGTTGGCATTCATTCTAATGACAGGCTTTATGACACAGAAAGGGTACTGGTTTCAGAGTAGCAGCCGTGTTAGTCTGTATCCACAAAAAGAAAAGGAGGACTTGTGGCACCTTAGAGACTAACAAATTTATTTGAGCATAAGCTTTCATGATGCATCCGATGAAGTGAGCTGTAGCTCACAAAAGCTTATGCTCAGATAAATTTGTTAGTCTCTAAGGTGCCACGAGTACTCCTTTTCTTTTTGAGAAAGAGTACTGATTCACTATTACTTATTAATTACATAACAGAGCACTTATGCACAGAGTCCTACAGCCAAGCGTGAATCTGATGCAAATCTCCTCTCCTGGGGCTTGATTGTGCCATTTGGGCTCAAATCAATGGGTGGTGTGGAGCCCCAGGTGGGTGTGCTGCCTTAGGGATGCATTCAGACTTCTTGAGATCCTAGTCACAGAGGCTGCATGTCTGCTACTATACTGCAGCTTCATATACCCCTGAATGGCTGGCCAGCTCCACAGCCTGGGGTGAAGGGGGTTAGAGTCATGGATCTGCCTCATCTTTGCAACCTCTCAACCACTGGGCACCCATAGAGGGGAAGCAACCCTCTGTGCATTCATGTAAGTGTCATCATCATCATGATCATCACATTTCTGCACCTGGATCACTTTGGCATAAAGTCCCTGTGCTAAATGCTCAGATGTCCATTAGCCACATACATTCAGAGAGCACAGCAAAGGAAGAGTTACCTCAGGAGGCATTTCATAAGCCTCATTATCTGGGTCCACTGGCATATCTGTATTATCCATCATTCCTTCCTGCGAGATTCCTTCTTCATTCTAATGTTTAAAACAGGAGAGAAAAGCAACAGGCGGTCATGGGTTCCTTTACGATTCACCTTGAAAAATATGTCTATATCAGTATTATTTTTTCGAGTAGTTGGTTAGTGAAGGCAAAGGGCCATATCATCCCCTCTGCTGCTTGACAACAGGAGAACAAAAACTGTGGAAATCCCAAAACAGTGGATCCCAGACTGTCAGAGACTGGGGAAGAGGAGCCAGTGCAGCATCACCCTTCCATGTTAGCATCCAGCTATCCCTTTATGAATACTGTTCAGCCTGTGGGGATATTTTGGCTAGGGTGGTGGAGCTCTAGGTGGCATCATCTCCAGGCAGCCCCATGGAGTGACCTTAGAAAATGCCCATGGGAATTAATGTTGTCCTTGTAATTCATGTCTACAAATTCTGTGCCCTCTATCCAGGTTTGGTCGTAAGTACAGAGCAGTCCAGGACCCAATGGCAGCACATCTTATTAAAGAGTCATGATGCCAAGTTAAAGGCGGCATTGACTCTCCAAACATATGACCATGGCACGCATAGGCACTGACTCTGTGGGTGCTTCGGGGCTCAAGCACCCATCGAAAAAAATATAGGGGGTACTCAGCCCCTGCAGCTCTGGATTACTTCTTTGTGGACCCTGGAGCCCGGGCCGTGCCCGCAGTCCACCTGCGCTCTGCCCCAAGGCCCCAACCCCGCTCAACCTCTTCTCCACGAGACTCTGCCCATGCTCTGCTTCTTCCCTGAGGCCCCGCCCATGCCCTAGCCCCACTTGGCATCTTCCCCCCAAAGCCCCTAGCATCAGTGGGAGCGGGTGGAGAGACGCACCCACCAGCAAAGACAAAAGTCAGCACCTGTGATGGCAGATACCACAAGAACTGCTGAATTCCCCTGTATTGCTGGAGGGTTGCGACTTCACCCCTGCCTTCCCCAATACTCCTCCACCCGCAGGAATGTGTCCAGAAACCCCTCACCTCATGGGAATGACATCAGTGTCAGCTTCTGGAGTTACCCTGAGAAACTTTCCAGTACCATGGGGACTTACCTAGCTCAAAATTAGCAAGTAAATTAGGCTGTTTTGAGGATTACACTGGAAGGGCCCAATCCTGGAAACACTTTTGCCTATGAATAACTTTAGTCAATCGAGTAGTCCCATTGACTTCCGTGTAACTATTTGTGAGAGTAAAACTATTCATGTGCTTCAATATTTGCAGGATTGGGCCACGAGAGTAGGGGAGGCTTTAGGATAAAAATAAGGCAAATGGCTATTCCAATAAGATTATCGCCATATTTGGGGTCAGGAAGGAATTTTCCTCCAGGACAGATTGGAAGAGGCCCTGGGGTTTTTTTGCCTTCCTCTGCAGTGTGGGGCACGGGTCAGTTGCTGGAGGATTCTCTGCACCTTGAAGTCTTTAAACCACAATTTGAGGACGTCAATTGCTCAGACATAGGTGAGAGGTTTATTGCAGGAGTGGGTGGGTTAGATTCTGTGGTCTGCATTGTGCAGGAGGTCAGACTAGATGATCATAATGGTCCCTTCTGACCTTAATGTCTATGAGTCTATTATAGTATAGACTGATGAACCAGTCCTATTTACATGAGCATCACTTAACAACAGTTCTAACATGTTCACAGTACGTGCAAACATAGAAACAATCTGGTCAGAAGGAAGACATATATCAAAGTACACAGCACTGTGGGTTTTTTTCAATTTTAGAACATGGAACAAAATTAAGGATACTATGGACCAGATTCTAATATTCTTACGCATATTAAATAGAATCTTACTCCATGAGTAGTTCCATTAGAATTAGTAGAACATAAGAATGTCCATACTGGGTCAGACCAAACGTCTATCTAGCCCAGTATCCTGTCTTCTGACAGCGACCAATGCCAGGTGCTTCAGAGGGAATGAACAGAACAGGTAATCATCAAGTGATCCATCCCCTATGGTCCATTCCCAACTTCTGGCAAACAGAGGTTAGGGACACCATCCGTGCCCATCCTGGCTAATACCCATTGATGGACCTATCCTCCATGAATGTATCTAGTTCATTTTTGAACCCTGTTAGTCTTGGCCTTCACAACATCCTCTGGCAGAGAGTTCCACAGGTTGACTTTGTGTTGTCTGAAGAAATACTTCCTTTTGCTTGTTTTAAATCTACTGCCTATTAATTTGGTGATCCCTAGTTCTTGTATTATGAGAAGGGGTAAATAACATTTCCTTATTTATTTTCTCGACCTCTGTCACATCCCCCTTTAATCATCTCTTCTCCAAGATGAAAAGTCCCAGTCTTATTAATCTCTCCTTTTATGGATGCAACTCAATCTCAAAGACGTTGGATTCTAACCCTATAATTGAAAATATTATTATTTAGTATCTACAATAAATTAAAAGAGAGTGAATATTCCCATATTCCATATGGGCCAAATCCCATAGTTCTTGTTCAGGCAAAACTCCAAATGAAGACCAATAAGAGTTTTGCCTGAGCAAGGACTGTAGAAATTGGTCCCGATTTGAAAATACATAACAATGAGGTTGATATGAAGAGCCAGATCTTAGCTGGTGTAAAAATGACATAGTTCTTGTTAAATCAATGCAGCTATGCTGATTTACACTTGTTGATAAACCTGAAATAGATATCAAATCAGTTCACATAGACTTTAGAGGAAATTGACTTAAAAGTATTTTCAGTCAATAATTTCTAGACTTGCAGCATGGAGTTTAATGTAAAAATAAAACCCCATGGACCAATCTAAAGGGACAATTACCGATAGCCTAGGATTTATATGACAGCCATGCTAAAGCCAATACATGCTAGAGATAAAATGTGGAAAACCAATTATATTTAAAACCAAAACACAGATCTTCCCAGGCTCATACAGATTAGAGACTAACGGGCCCTGAAATGCTGCCTCTGGAACTAATGTATTAAATGTGTGGCACTATATCCCAGTATCCTATTGTCATGATTCATCTCTCTCTCTCAATGTCTTTTGATAGAGATCTTAACTCTAAATTAGCATTGGGTACCAGGAGGGTGGCACGAATACGCCGAGATCTGGATTCTGAGATTTCCCCTTCTCCCCATACCCATGTTTGTCACAGCTGCTTGGAATAGATGCATAAAGGGAACTGAAACTAGGCTTAGGACTTTAAACTTCATTGTCAGCAAAGATGAGTCTAACTGGGCACAGTAACCCAAACACCAGGAGTGAACCCAATGGGGGCATGTTACCTGGGAATTCTTTAAAGTGTAACATGAAAAATGTAAAATTCTGGTGCACTTAAGAATCCAACACACTAATTTCAAATAATCTATTATTCAATTCATAATTAATTTTCTTCCTATAATTATCTGAAATAAAGGAACACAGTATCAAAGTGCTGCGGTGCTGCATGGGGTTTAGCAGCACACGCTTTTGTGATTTAAGAGAGTCACGTATCTAAAACTCTACATAACACTTCCAAATGACACACGTTTTACAATAGAATTCTTAACGCATTTCATTGTCATACAAACTTTAGCAGCATGTATCCTTAAAATGAAACTCTGTGGGTCTTCTTTGTTCTCTCAACTTTAATTTCTCTTCCTCTTTGCACCATATTCTCACATCACTGGCTACAAGCTCAAGGGAACAGATCTCCTGTGCTCAGCATGGAGCCCTGTGTTGCAAGAACAGCATGACCAAGGCCCCCACTTTCATACCCTCTGTGTGTAAGTTATTTTCATTATTATTAATCCTGTTTACAACCCTAGTGCCTAAGGACCAACCAAGAATGGGGCAATGTACAAACAGATTAGCAGACAGTCCCTGTTTCAAAGGCCTTATGCTCGAAGGCTTTGTCTAAGCTCTCCTGCAGACAAAAATCTTCCACCCCACCACGAGCAGCAGCAGCTTTGTTGGTAGGAGAGCGCTTTTCATTGGTAAAACTTTTGTCATTCGGGGGGGGGCGGGGTGTGTGTGTGTGTGTGTGTGTGGTTTTTTTTTCATAGCCCTGAACGACAAAGGTTTTGCTAATGAAGTTCCTGTGTAGACAAAGTCTAAATAGACAAGACAGACACAGGATGGAGAAAGAGAGAAAACACAGAGAGTGAACTCTGTCATGGCAGCAAATGCACATCAGTTCCATGATATATATATTTGGTGAGGGGTTTAGCTAAGAGGGGATAAGCTAAACGGAAAGAAAAGTGAAGGGAGAAAGAACACTGAAGGGAAAGGGGGTGGGCAGGACAGGGGAGAAGAGGGTAAGAGGAGCAAATATTATGGGAAGCTGAGGTGAAGAGACTATGAGGGCAGCACAGGACAGAAAAAGACCAGTCAAAACTGTAGACAGTTCTCTGAACGTCCGAAGTTCCCTGCGTTGGTTGCTTCTGATCCTACCAGCTGGAGTTTCTGGCTAGTTTCTCCCCCAAGGCCAAATGGCACAGCTGACAGAAGGCACCACCCTCATCCCAGCTTCCCCAGACTGTGAGTGTGGCGGGGGGGTCTCCCTGCACAGTTCGCTGTCCTCTCCTTCCAGTTACTAAGCAGCCATCTCCATCAAATATGCCAGTTAGAAAAATCGTGCCAGGGACAAATTGCCCACCCCAGATATAAAATATTCGGTCTGAAAGTGTATGCCCCCTTCAGGACTTTTGTGATCAACCCCCCTGCTCCTACCAGCTGTTTGCAGCACAACAGATGTAGGTTAATCCTGGGCACTTCTCAATGTTCCATGCAGGTCTCTAGCTGTGCCTGCCTAAACTGAAGAGAGAGTTTCTAGTGCTTCGTCTGTGTTGCCCTCCGCAACAGCACTGTATAGAGACTCCAACTGATGTGTACAACCTGGTGTATTAGAGCCACTGCACCACAATCCTAGAAACTGTTACTGGACATTTTACGAACCATATTATTGGTATCTTTATTTAGCCTGGCATTTTCAAAAGTGACTAATGATTTTGGGTTCCCAACTGACACTGATTTTCAAAGCATTGTTCTGAAAAATTGGGCCCCTTTCA